GAAAGGCACGGCACGTTGAATTGATCCTCGCAGCACTTAAAGAAAATAGTTTGTATTGTAACCCTAAGAAGTGTCAATTCTTTCAGTTGGAGATTGATTTTCTGGGCCACCGTATTTCGGCTAGAGGTATTGAGGCGCAACCGCGTAAATGTGATGCTATTCTTAATTTTCCGCGCCCAACGTCTGCCTCTCAAGTTCGAAGGTTCCTTGGCATGGTTCGGTTCATCGGCTGTTATATTGAGGATCTTGCAGAACACACCAGAATTTTGAATCCCTTAACACGCAAGGAGTGCAATCGTGACTTTCCCGAATGGACATCCGATCATGAGAAAGCCTTTATTAGGATTAAAGAGGGGGTGGTGCATAGAGCTGCCTTAACTTTCATTGATCATTCTAACCCAGGTGATAATAAAATATTTGTGACTTGCGATGCCAGTGACTGGCGTACCGGTGCCATCCTTTCATGGGGTCCGGATCTGAAATCTGCCCGTCCGGTTGCCTTCGATTCTCAACAATTATCAGGGCCTGAACTTAATTACCCGGTGCACGAGAAAGAGCTTCTTGCAATTGTTCGCGCATTGAAACGCTGGCGTGCGGACTGTATTGGGATGCCTGTCTATGTTCTAACAGACCATCGCACACTAGAAAATTTTCTTTCTCAAAAGGAACTTAGTCGTCGACAGATGAGATGGCAAGAATTTTTAAGTCAATATGAGCTTATCATCTCGTACCTTCCGGGTGACGCTAACACAGGTGCTGACTGCTTGTCGAGAATTCCCCCACACTCACTGCCTGGTGAATCCCCTGTCGAGTCCGCTCCCCCTTTGAAGTCAGATGCCTGGCAGCTGCCATCGACTGTGGCTTCTGTTTCCACCATCAAAGCCGATGAGGAATTTGCCGCCAAAATCAAACAAGGCTACGCATCTGATGAATTTGTTCGTAAATTAAACTCCAGTGCTTCTCCCATTCCCGGTTGTGAATTGCGCAATGGTTTTTGGTACATTGATGGTCGAATGGTGATTCCACGATTTGACAACCTGCGTGAGACCCTTTTCCGTCTGGCTCACGATTGCACAGGCCACTTCGGTGGCGATAAATCTTATGAATATCTCCGTGATTCTTACTATTGGCCAAACATGCGGCGGGATCTGCTCAAGTCATACGTGCCTGGCTGTACCGAATGTCAACGCAATAAGTCCACAACCGCCAAGAACCCAAAAGGTCCCCTACATCCCTTACCCGTGCCGGATGGCCGACTGCAGAGTGTGGCACTAGACTTTATTGGTCCCTTGCCGGAGGACGAAGGCTATAACTGTATCCTGACTATGACTGACCGCTTGGACGCGGATGTTCGAATTGTTCCGACTCGTATGGATCTCACGGCGGATGAGTGTGCACTACTTTTCTTTCGGGAATGGTATTGTGAAAATGGTTTACCTTGTGAGCTGATCTGTGATCGCGACAAACTTTTTGTCTCTAAATTCTGGCAAGCATTCCTGAAGCTGACTGGGATTAATCTCAAAATGTCCTCTGCTTATCACCCTGAAACGGATGGTGCTTCGGAGCGCTCGAACAAGACTATTAACCAGTGCTTGCGCTACTACGTTGCCCGTAATCAATCGGGCTGGGTTGCCGCTCTTCCAAAAGTCCGCTTTGACATTATGAACTCTTGGAATTCAAGTACCGGTATGAGCATGTTTCAGTTAAAGACCGGTCGCTCCCCCCGTGTACTACCTCCTATTACAACTGACTCCATTGTGCCTGCGGAGCTGAATGCTGCTAATCTTATCAAATCCTTCCAGTCCATTGAGGCCGACGCTCGTGATTGCTTATTTCAAGCAAAAGTTCACCAGTCCTTTTTTGCTAATAAACACCGCGGAACCCCGAATAAGTTTGCTGTTGGAGACTGGGTTATGCTATCCACATTACACAGACGCAGGCAATACAAATCATCCGGCGAATTTAGGGTTGCAAAATTTTTCCCGAGGTATGATGGACCTTATGAGATTGTTGCTGCTCATCCGGAAACGGACTCCTACACCCTTGAACTACCAAGTCAACCTGGTGTCTATCCTACATTCTATGTCTCCGAATTGAAAAGGTTTACCCATAACAACGACGAGCTTTTCCCTGGTCGTCAATTGACTCGTCCGGCACCGCTGATGGTTGATGGACATGAAGAATTTACCATTGACAGGATCATTGATGCCCGCAAACGTGGTCGTGGTTGGCAATTTTTGATTCGATGGTCAGGTTACGGCCCTGAAGAAGATAGATGGCTCAGTTTCAGCTCAATTCGTGACTGTTCTGCTTTGGATGACTGGCTTAAGTGCGGTGGCGCTGGTCCTCATGGCTGTTGATGCCTCATTTTCCTTTTCTTTCGTATTTTTTTATTACTCTTAGTTTAATTTTTCTCTCCTTACATATCTACCCACTAGATAGGATCTGCTTCAGGATGGGTGGGAGTGTAAACGTGCTACGTTCACAGCACATTCACTTCACGGTCATGTGACCTTTCTCGTACTTACATACTTATGTCTCGACACGCGTTAGTCATACTCACTTCTTTTCTTCCCGTTCTTTCATCTTGTCTCCGTCTCGTTAGCGTACGCTACTCGCCGTCTTGTCTTTCTCGCTCTTGCCAATAGGACGCGATCTACCTTCTGGTTTTCCTCGTGTGATCAGTGTCACGCCATACGGCGTGTTTACACGCATCTGCAACGAGAATTTTGGATGGCTCCACCTTCCATACAAAGTAGATTTCAATGGATTCGAGCTTAAAAAATGGCCAAATCTCTTGTTACAGATGCGCTCTATTGTACTATTTCGAAGAGGTGTTCATTTATCTTACGGTATCACACTTTATGACTCCAGTTCATTCAATTCAATCATCAAAGTTCCAGTTCAGTTTGTTTTTCTCAACCATGCACATGACCTCAATCACACCAGAACAAGGCTGAATTTGAACTAGACTGGGCATCAGGACTGCCAGAACACCTGGAATAAGAATAAGATAAAAAAAATGGACGGAGTCTGATAGATATTTGTGTTGCACAGACTTGTAGTCATAATTGTACTATTACAACAGCTTCGGGAAACCTTAACGCAATTTTTTATGTAGCTCATAAATGAATTCCCAATTTGGATGTCCACATCACACACACTTCCGAGCGTTATACTTATATCAGATATCAGTCCTTGTTGGTTGCTTTCTTTCATCATGGTAAACCAGCATATTGGCCAAGATCTAAAGGAGCACACTCTATAGCTTTTGGAGAGAGCCTACGAAAGCAGACCAAAAGAAGTGGCATACCTACTACTTGAATCCGCGTCATTCCTAGAAATGGGTCCGTCCCAAACTGTGAATTTATTTATGAACTATATCACAATTGGGATTAGGACAATGTTTCCCGAAACACCTTAATATCTATCAGGTGACTTATTCTACAAAATTTTCTATTTTTGGAGGTAAATTTCTTTCCTGTGTTGGAACTTTGGGGTTTCCCTCTCGGCTAGAAGGAGATTGTTCGCTCTCTCGGAGCACCTGCCTACCTCTGTTTGAATACAGACAGATAGCAAAAGCATCAACAGGATTAAAACCATACTAATACGTAAAACATACTTATGCAGAGAATATTTTCGCTTGCATCCGAAGAAACTCAAGTAATAAGTATTTGGTTAAATCCCTTAGATTAGTACTCTTGGTATTGATTTCTCCGAAATTTTCCAGTCCACTAGGGATCAGCAGCTGCATGAGATGATACAGTCTGACGTTGAAGCTACTATTAAGTGCCTGCATAGCTCTGGCTATGTATAGGGAAATTGTTATCCACCCACCTATCCTGGATCAGTGAATCTGCTCGGCCGTTTGCTTGATATCGGCTCTTTAGGTACAAAAGCTTCTTTTTGTCGACTTCTTGAAGTACAAGATCAGATTGCAGTGAAGAAAATATAAAGATTTAGACCAAAGTAGAAAAACACGATCAAGCTATGCACAATGAATTGAACATGCCCCACTGCCTCGTTTACAGAGAGGTGTAGTCAAAGTAGGAAATTTTTCTTGTTATATCTAGATGAGGGGCGTCTAACAATTCAATGAATGAGTAAATGAGGGAATTCATGCTGTTCACTTTTGTAAAAAAAAAAAAAAAGCTACGAGAAAGCCGACAGTTTGTGTTCCATAGCAAGGCAATTTAGTAGGGGAACAGGCGCTGAGTGGAATTCTATAAGTAAGAGGTCAGGATGGTTAGCACAGTTCCTCCCTGGCTCTGAACCATGAGTCGGTACGCTTTCCCGGCCTAAAGGTAAGAAATATGCCTGATACCTTAGATCATATTTCTTACATTTGATATTCTGTTCTAGGAGACCCAAATTTCTTCAAGGATGTTGATAAGCTTATGAAGAGTATGGCAGAAACCTCGCCAAATTCTTCCAATGCTGGGTTAGTCCTCTGTGCCGTTCTTTGGAATGGCTTCCTTCCTTTCCTACTTTAACTTGTGATTAATCCTTGTTCAAACTTGTCTCCAGTGAAGCAACGGCCTGCACTGCGAAATCGGGCTTCAAATACTTTCTTCAACAACGCATCACAAATTGCTCTTTGTGATGCAACCCGTTCGTTTTGTTCAAGGAAATCAGGCCAACATGCCAGCTGATGATAATCCAGAATTAGCAAAAGGTGTGTAGACAGAGCCGCTTTTAGTTTTACAACACAACCCCCCTCTATGTTGTCTATCTACTCGCATGCTCAAAAAATTGGTACAGTCATCATGGCGGGATCCATGGCCAAAACCAAGCCAATTGAAAAGACCAAACCAACAAGGGGAAAGAAGAAAAAGAAGAAAGGAGGAAGAAGAGAAAAAGAAAAACATTAGTGTCATAGTAGCCATTCACCGATGTCTGTGGGATGTAAGCACAAAGCAACTTTGAAAATAAAAATTCAACCTTTAGATGACGAGAAAAAAAAAAAAAAAAAAAAAGGCATGAATTTACAAGCCCAATAGCGACGCCAGCAGGATTCGAACCTGCGCCCTCAAAGAGGAACAGATTGAATCGGAACCTAAATCCACCTATTCTAATCTGTCGCCGTAACCACTTGGCTATAGCGCCGACACATGTTACATTACCATATGTGTGTTTGGTGGAAGTGGATCATCGGTTCGTCGTCGTCGCTGCTACCAGAACACTCGGTGTGAACACTGCGAAAAATGACAAGTCGAAGTGGATATATACTTTTAGACCCTTTTAAACCTTTGAAAGAAGAAGAAGAAGGAAAAAAAAAAAAAAAAAAAAAGCAAAAATTGAACATAACAAGCTCCGAGTCAACAGCGACGCCAGCAGGATTCGAACCTGCACCCTCGAAGGAGGACCAGACTGTTACACAAGCGTATCTATTCTAATCTGTCGCCGTCACCACTTGGCTATAGCGCCGGTACATGAGACAGAAGTATATATCTGTTGTGTTTGGTGAAAGGGACATGGTCGTTTGTCGTTTGTCGTTGCCGGAGACTCGGTGCGAAAAAATGACTTTGACAAGTCGAAAGTGGATATACTTTAGGGTCTAGACTCTCAGGAACGGGTCTAACGACTTTTGTGACTCGTATTTGTACTTAGAGTCGATCGATCCGATTCCCCTTAGCTGGGTCCCCCCGGAGACAGAAAAGCATAGGTTCTTAAAGATCTTGAGTTTCAAAAAGCGGATCTATATGAACGAAGCATCCAGTTGAGTAAGGTGAAATCAGAAAAAGAGTCGACAGTGAATCGTTTCGTCGTTATCCGTGTGGGGATTCGCGGTGTAGTACACAAGCTTCCGAACTTATTACATATTGAAGAACTGTTGATTACAAGTAAATACTTAGGGTCGAGACTAGACAGAAGTCATAATAGTAAATGGACCAGCTACGCCCGATGAGGCTGGGTAAGGGCTGGAGTTGGACTCTAGACCATTAAGAAGTCTGCCCAATGGTATGGGCATTTTATCGAGGAATTCAAGTCGTTGTGCAAATGATAGATAGAATGAATCCGTAGATCAGAACTCATCTATACGCCGGATATATAGAAGAGTTGTGTGAATGCCATATAGAAGTGCTAGAGAGGATCAAAATAGGACTGCGGGTAGTAAAAGATAAGTAAAGTACCGGTACGTACTATAGAGTTGTCTAATTCGGAGCATACATACTCATTATGAACCTAAGGTAGCAGTGCACGCAGTCAACACGCCGAGCACGTTCTTGATGTTCTAGTTACCCTTCCCAGCGCACCCAATCAGTAAGTCTCCGGACGAAGTACCGGTGCCCTAGTAAAGTGTCCCTAAACCTCCTTGTCGGATCCAAGAGACTATAAAAAGGAGAGGTCAGCTAGGTTAACGTTCCTGTTTCGTTGATTGATCTATAGAGAAAATTGAATCCCGTTCCATTGTTCTCAGGTCCCCGGTTCATTATCATCTCTTCACTTGTAATCACACCTTCTGTCACCTTAGTAGAAAAACACGCGCCGTTCATCGTCTTACATATCTAACCCTGACCCTAGGGGGACTTCTCACTCCGACGTCTCTCGCTCTCTACCACCACCACCAGCAACCACCACCAGTCCACCACCCACCCATTAAACGCACTGTCATATAAACTGTCAGTTTTTGCCCAACCAATGACATCGATAATGTACGCCGCGCCGATCGGCATAGAAGATAGCCTAGCGACAAAACCGAGGAAAGGGTTGTTCTACACTGGAAATAGCGATTCAGAGTCAGAGCCGGAATGGGAGGAAGAAGAGCCTACTATGTCAGCTCGTGCGTTGTTTTATAATTTGCAAAAAAAACAAAGAATGCTTACTTTAGTCTTTTAGTTCGATTTACAGACGCGACCACCGTTGCCCTTGCCCGTCTGCCTTCGACCACGACGACCGGTATCGCTTCGTCCACCGTTAGCGGTGTGAACGACCCACTCCACGAAAATAAAGAAGACAAGGCATCCTCGGACTCTCACGCACGCGACATCGACATGGTCACCCATTCTATTCTTGGAGACGACGGCATGATCCGTGCTCAATTTTCTGAACCTTCCAATTTTCCTTCGTCTCCTTCTTCTTCTTCCTCTATCTCCACCAGCAGCAGCATAGTACCTCCATCGGATACGACCAATATAGCGAGTACAACAACGACAGAGAGTACGACCACTGATAGTCCTCCGACAACGATAACCACGACGACGGGAACGACAGGCGACAACAACGACTCGCAGATACAGCTAGTGACGGAAATAGATCAGTCAGAGACGCTCACGCCGCCTCCGCAGACGACAACAACAACAGCAACGACGCTCACTGCCTCCTCCCCTCTTCCTCCTCCTCCTCCTCCTCCTCCTCTTCTGTCTGACGACGACGACGACGTGGCAGTGAACCAGACATCCGTCGATCAACAACAACAACAACAACCGTCTTTATTATCCCCTTTCACACCTTCTTCCCGTTTCCCTTTATCACGTACACACACCAGTCCGACCGCTCTCTCTACTACTACTACCGGTAGTCATCCGAACCTAAGCCCTCGTCTCTTGCCTCATCTTTACGGTATCGGAACGTCCTCCTCCTCGTCTTCTTCTGGTTTACTCCCCAACGGTCGACCCGCAAGTTCTCATTCCAATTTCGCTTCTTCTTCATCAACATCAGCCGGCGGAGGTGCCGCTGCAAGAGTCTCTTTCTCTCAATCCCTTCATCATCATCATCATCATCACGACAACAACAGACCCGGTTCCTCTTCTTCCCATCACCCTTACCATCATTTAGGCAGTTCAGGTCTCAGTTCCGGAGGGTTGTTAACTTTCGGTCTAGGTTCAGCATACAACTCCTCTGCATACAACAATTCCGCTTTCAACTCCACAACCACATCCGCACGCACCTCCTTAACCCGTATAGACGTCTTAGCTATGGAGAACCCAGAATCTGATTTGGGTAGACCGTTGGATGGGGATGGAGGTGTTGGGGAAGAGGAGTTGGCGAGGAGGGAGGTGGTTAGGAAGGAGGTTGAGGCGAGGGAGAGGAGTGAGCTCGAGAAGGATAAAGGGGATGGAGGGGAGGAAAGGAGAGTGATGACGACGACGGAGGAGGTGACAGATGCGACTACTGCTACTTCTGCGAATGCTGCCGTTACGGAATCAACGTCGACACCTTCATCCCATGCACCGACGTCAACACAAACAGACTCTACTCCCGCTACTGCTACTGCTCCTACCTCCAACCCTACACCTTCCGACACTCAACCCCAACCCCAACAACCCCAACCCCAACTCCAACCCCAAATCCAAATCCACACAGACCCAAAAATCCCACTAACCTTCCTCCTCATCACCGGTGCCAGACGAACGATGTCTTTCGATCCAGAAACGACAGTGGGTAGAGTTAAAGAGTTGATTTGGGGTGGTTGGCCTGAGGGTGAGTTCCAGGAAACCTTTTGACCCTTAAGCTTTTCTCAACTCAATTCGTTCTCTTTCTTTCTGTTATTTGTCTTCGCCCTTTCCTTGGACCAACGACCAACGACCCAACCCATCACACACACGCGCGCGCCTCATAACACGCCCTTACACACGAACGCAAACAAAAAAAAACCAAAACAGACTTCCCCCCCTCAGACCGCCCCCCAACTCCATCCTACCTCCGTCTCCTTCATCTAGGTAAAATCCTTCAAGACGAAGACACGTTGACTAGACTCAAGTTCCCGAGTTACGTTCCTTCTTACTCCACCACCACGGCTCCTTCCTCACCTATCCAAACCCAACCGAACGATTCACTTTCATCGCCTGTACTTCCCACCACTACCACCACGTCCGTTCCCGCTCCCGCTCCAGCACCTCCTTCTCCATCTACTTCTCCCCAACCAACTCAATCCCCATCCACCTCCCCACCCACATCCACATCCCAACCCTCCTCCACATCCTCCTCCCCACCCCAACTAACCATCATCCACCTCTCCATCCGCCCCCACGGTCCCGGCATCCCGCCCCTATCCGAAGACGGCACAGACGCGACGAAGAAGAAGAAGAACAACAGGAGGAGTTTGTTTTCGGTTCCTGTTTCGCTGGCTGTTTTTGGTGGGAATAATAATAATGGGAATAATAATAATAATGGAGGGGGAGGAGGAGGAGGTGGGGGAGGAGGGGAACGAGGAGGAGGAGAGATGAGAGAAGTCGGTGTCGTAGCAGGTGGTGGTGCAGGTGGTGGAGGAGAAGTGTTGGGTACGACAGGTTCAGAAGGTGGTGCTACTGCTGCTACCCCTGTTGCTCCTGTTGCTCCTACCGGAGTTGGTGCAGGTGCTACCAACACATCGACTACTACACCCGCTGTACCTTCTTCCACTGCTACACGGACAAACGAAGCAGGAGGAGGAGGAGGGGAAGAGCACGGTCACGGTCACGGTCATGGTAGTGGAAGGGGGATGTGTTGTGTTGTTTGTTGATACACACATAACGCGTAAGAAGGAGGGGGGAGAGAGGGGGGAGGGGCAGAGGAATTGTGGTTAGGGAATGAGGATGAGGATGGAGAAACGAGGATAAAGAAGGAAGCAAGGAAGGAAGCAAGGGGGGAGGGGGGGGAAGAGAGAGAGAGAGGGGGCTGACGTTTGTGGAAGTAATAATGGGAAGTCACTGGAGTTGTTGTTCGTAGGACCTTGGGGTCTTGGTGCTGGTTAACTGGTGCAGGGTACCCCAATGCATATCGACTATACACCTGCTGTTACCTGCTACTGCAAGGACAAATGAAGCAGGAGGGGAAGAACATGGTAGTGGAAGGGGGGATGTGTTGTGTTGTTTGTTGATAAACACGTAACGCGTAAGAGAAGAGCGAGGAGGGGGTTGGAGGACTTGAGGAATCGATTTGAAGGTGGGGAAGAACCATGGTAGTGGAAGGGGGATGTGTTGTGTTGTTTTGTTGATAAACATAACACACGAGAGCAAGGATGGGTTGGAGCACTTAGGAATGGGGATGAGAATAAGGAAGGGGAGAGTTAGAGGTCGATGTTCTGGGCTGGTTTTTATTCCGAGAAAAAAGTCAAGTCACACACATAGTACATAACACTTTACGCTCTTCATACTTAAAGTACATTCTTATATGCACCTTCTGCTCGATTAGTTTAGTCACTTTCGTTACATACATGCAATTTCTCGCCTCTCATCTCATCTCATACGTATACATACCCCCACTTATCTTACTCTTTTTGTTTTCTTTCTGGTCGATTAGGTAGGTCTCTTTGGTCCCGTTCAAAAATACCGCAATTGTTCATGAGTCCTCTTTTCCTCTCTTTCTTCACCTCGTTCTCCGTCTTAAGCTCTCACACATACGTAACGTTCCCTTGTTAGTGGTCAGTCTACTTTCGGATTTTCGTGCATACTTCTTTTCCTCTCTTCTCTCCACCTTTTCTTTTTACTCGGATTCGTTTTCAA